TCTCTCTCTCTCTTTCTCTCAAGTATTATAATCGTACAGTTTTATCCCATAACGCGCATTGTAATATCTAAAGAAGTCTGTAACAATTGCAAATTGGCTTTTTAATCTCCAATATAATAAATAGTTATATGTCTAACAATCAAAGAATATCGGATCGAAGAAGACAATGCTGTGAAATATGACAATAAACTTAATTACATAACTGACACTTTTGTCAAGCCTCCTCCACCAGTATGGTTGATGAAATAGCTTCAGTGTGTTAGGATATCGAAAGAACTAACATGCAACAAATAACATCAAGTACACGTAACATGAAAAAGGAGCACACTTCAAGATTCTATATCTATCTAAAATTAGTGCACATGATATTGATATTTCTTTGTAAATGACAGGGTGGATGTTGATTAAATCTGTTATGATGTGCTTCTTGTTATATAGTCACTCTGTTCAGTTATGTTGTGTACAACAATTATACCACGTAAGTTATTTGATACCTCTCTTTTGTATATTATTATAATACCATTATTATAAGTCGGTTTTCTTAAACGCGTATTAGTTAAAAGTTATATAACTTCCTATTCGCTTAACAACGTAAATTTGGAATAATTTGAAAATAATAAAAACATATTTTTATAATTTTTAGGAAGAGCAAATAGAGTAGAACAAGCGTATTAATACAAAATAGAATTATTATCTGCATGAACAGAATACGATTTCAAAGAAAAGAAAGCGATTGAATAGCAAATTAACTGTTCGAGTGATGCAATTTACAAGAATTATGCATAGCAGGAGATATAAGTGCAAGGTGCAAGGTGCAAGGGAAAAGGGTTACCTGCCAATACCTTAGCAACAACTCCTCATCAATGTACTGCAATAGACTCCTGTTGGGAGAAATTATTAGAATTACAAACTGATCAGAAAAATTAAAAGTACGGGTAATAAATAATGGAAATGGATTACAAAACAGAATTTAGGATAGAGAGAAAAAAAGAGTTGGTATGCTACGAAGACGAGAATACTTATCGGCGGGATATTAAATATTTTAGAATTATGTGACCGAGTTCTACGTTGTTAAAAGAAGAATCAATGATACGAATAATTTCAACTTTCGTAAGAATAGATTTTCCAAATATCTCTCATCGTAAACTTTCGAGAAATACTAGTGAGAAAAGTGTACAAAACTGCACATACGGAATGGATCGCTTTTATGCCTGACTTTGAGATGGAATGAATGATTCTAATGTATGAGATCGATATGTTAATGTACATATAAAGTACATTTTCAAGTGATTGTATTTGCTTTGATAAAATGCATAACATATCAACACTGTTCGAAAACTTTCAATCATGCAATATCATACAAACAATCACGTCTATCGCCTAACATGCAAAAGATGGTGCTTGTGATTTTATATATCTACAGTATATTGTTAAATCCTATTTCATTAGAAAGTGTCTATATACATAACAGCTTTTTTGTTAACTTTGACTATACAGCCCAGTTAAAGATATCGTCTATAATATAATATATCTGAAACCACTTTGACTGATATAAGAAAAATGTAGTATGTTTTATATTTACATGTTATATGAAAGAACTGCAACTTAAATTGTATTAATACCATTATTTCCCGTTATTCAAGGAGGCAAATTAATCAGGATTTTATGAGATTAAAACAGTGTAAGTGTGTCACTTGTCTTGATAAGTACATATCTTTGTTACATTCAGAGCAGAAAATAATTTTCACGCCACACTAACTGTAAAATGTTTATGTTACCTTAAAGTCATACGAAATATCTCTGTGCCGGTTTTGCTACGACGTTTCAATATTTTACTTGTCATAACGTTCGCGCCAAGTGTACTGGTACAAAAATAAGTATGAGTAAATAAGTAGCAACTGATTTCTGTCCGCGATGAGAATAACAAAGAAAATAACGGTTAATCAATAACGACGGAGGACGCGAGGAATGAATTTCTCTGATATTCATATTCAACGATTTTACGATATTCTAGCTATTTCTGTGATTGCCTATTTACCTTTGCAAAAGAGACTTCCAAACTTATCGAGATATTTCAGAATATGATGTGCTGCTGTTTCAAGTGTAAGAGTAATAAATGTACACGTTTCTCTCTCGTCCACTCGGAACAAGTATGACATGATGCAAAGCATAAGCACGCATGCCATATGCGATATACTTATTAGTTACTATCAGCCAAGAATAAGATGTCTGTGACCCTTATGATACAGCATACCGTATTGCTGTCTTGTTTATGCAGTCTGACAATTGCATTTCGTCCGCAAGTCACGGTATCTCTTTAAACCATGTGTATATATAGAGATGTGTACATAAAACATATAATGCACATTGAAAAATTATATTGGAAACTCTCTTTCTCCAGTCTTATTCTAAACATTTATCAAACATTTACAAAACGAGAATGTCGTCGAACAAAACAGCAACTACCATATTAGTGAAAGTGATATGGAAGCTCCGATTTTTCTGATGATTTGCGAGATGTGTAGTGAAAATTGATGGAGAAAAACACAAAACAACTTACTTTTCCTGAACATCTTCGAACGCTGAACCGATTCCACAGTCTGGATGCACGTCACAATTATGTACAGCCTAGATGTACAAACATGCGAATCAGATGTTCAATTTTCATTACCATATATTTTGCGCGCTTTCGCTTTAATTATTATATTTACATATATAAAATAGTAATTATATAATATAAAATATAGATATATTTTATAAAATACATCATATAATATATAATTACTATGCTATTACGTTAGAAAAGAAAACTTGACTATTATAACTCTGTTCATATTGATAAGAACGGACTTACCTTGACGTTATTCATAATGTCCATAATATCCCATGCTGGATTACTGTCCACAGATGGTGATATAGAATCTCGCTGTAACGTACCTCCGTCGATGTTGATTTGATCTATAAGGCGAATTACGATGATGAGCGTGTTAGGACGTGAGTAAGACAATGACACACAGTTCACTATTAATTCACGCTTACCATCACTGTCCAATTGCGATATACTTTTCGGCCTGGGTCTCGCGGTGTGGCGGGAGGCTATCCTCTGCGGTACATTGGGCACTGCGCCGTCCTCGTCGGCTTCGAGATCGGCGAACATGTGACTGGGATTCGATACTTTTTGCAACAGTTCTAACGCCAATCTCTTGCTCATATCCCCTTGGAAAAACGCGTGCTGCAATTCGAAATGCATCCCCTACAGATTTGGCGCCAATGTGTTTACCTTAAGTAACATCGACGAAGTCAAATGACAATAACAACCTGAAGCAACTTCTCCGCCGTCGGTCTTTTCTTAGGATTCTTCGTGAGGGCGACTTTGACGAAATTGTGGAACGTCGGACTCCATTTGTCGCGATCCTTCAATGTCGGCGGCTTGAAGCCCGACTTGGACATGAGGAAGAGGGCACGCATCGGATGCAGGTCAAACATTGGCGGCTGCAATTCCGCCAATTCTATTGCGGTTATTCCACACGCCCAGATATCACATAACTGATTGTAACCGCCTTTTCTTTCCACAGCTGCTACCTGTAACATAATATAGTGAAAACAATAAAAACCTGCAAAATTTCTATCAACATAGATCAGCTTTATCGATCTGCAATACAATTATAAAACACATTCTTCTTTGAATATCATTGAGTTATAAGTACCTCAGGTGCCATCCAGTAAGGTGTGCCAATAAAACTTTTTCTCTTATTAATCGTCGCAGTAATTTGCGCTGACACGCCGAAGTCTGCCAATTTTACATCACCCGCCTCAGTTAATAATATATTGGCACCCTTGATGTCACGATGCATCTTGCCCATGCTATGTAAGTAAGCTAAACCTGTCAGGGTTTCTCGACACATGTACGCTATTTGTATTTCTGATAATGGTCCAGTTACTGCAAAGAAATTACTGCAGTTACAGGCAAGAAATATGATTATTGCAGCTTTAATTAAAAGGTAATTTGTATGATACTAATCTATAAACCATTATATAACGATATTATAAATTATCATTACAATACTATTGTGAACATCAATCTAAATCCCTTTTGCATATGATTTAAATATTTATTATAGAAATCTAATATCACATCCTATAGTATGTAATTATTAAGAGCAGTAGATATTAAACATACTATGATATATATCTTGTAAAGATCCACCTCCACAGTATTCCATACATATCCATAATTTATCTCTTCTTAAATAACTGCCATAATATGCAATAATATTGGGATGCCTGCAGTCCTTCATCATTAGAATCTCTTGCTGAATGATCGCAAAGTCATCACCTAGAAAACACACAATAGTGCCACAAACTATTCTGCTGTTTTTTAACAACACAATTTCTACTATCTGTAGTAGCTCGATATTATCCTCCAGCACAAACAAATAGATAATCTAGAGACAATCTATAGACAATCTGATAAACAGATATTTTTCTAGCCATTTTTCACCAGATCTTCATATTGCTCTATACGCTTTGTAGGAAAATCACAACACTTGGCAGGAAAATCATGATACCACAAAAGAGACGTGTGGCACAACAAATGAAAAAGTAACAAACATCCGAATCAAGAGACTAATCGTCCAACCAATACGATTCTAAACACTCGGCCGACGGTATGCTCACCTGGCTCCAGCTTGATAACCTTAATTGCCGCGAGATCGTTCATGGACAGTCGTTTAGCCTGCGAAGTGAAAACGATATAATTGTGGCGCTTCTTCGTCGTCGATTGTCAGGTGCACGGCTAAAGGGATACCGACCTTGTAGACATCGCCGTAGGTACCACTGCCAATTCTTTGGATGAGCTCGTACTCATCCTGGGGATTCCTACGGCTGATGTCACTGGACAACGCGTTCGCGTTCACGGCCATCGCGAGCGGCGCGGAAAGGATCCGACGACGAAGGGAAGAGAAAGACAGAGAGAGAGCGGGAGCGAAGCGTGACACCTAGTGCGTCGGGATGCGCTCTCAGCCGCCGTGAATCGATGCACGCGTGATCGCAGCTGCGTCCGCACGACGTAGCGGAACCATCTAGCCCGTCTCGTCGGGATGTCACACCAGCCGTCGAGACGTCGACGTCGCCATTGTCCACAATAGCCCGAACCACTCTGACATTGGCCGCGATCCGCGGCCACGACTAATACGCAGTGGTGGTGTTACGATATGCGATTTGCAGCTGCAGCGAGGAATCGATGCATCGCTCGGCCACGGACCGACTGACATGTGCATACTCCGGGAAATCCGGGGCCCATAGCACGAACGACAGAAGGAACTCGGCCAATGGTCGATCAATCGCGGTTTCAAATTTTGATCGATCGCACTTTTCGAGAATTTCAGAATGACAGTTTTAAGTCACTGACGAGACAACACGATACACGCCTATATCAGAATGAATTGAGGATTACAATCGAGGACCAATCAGGTAATCTAAATTTTGATTCCGCTTTATTCGACTGGTCCAATTGCAATCCTCAGTCCACAGTCTAATACGGACATAAAGACCGTTGATTTTACGAAATTTTGCGTACTTAGATAATTTCGCTATTTAATAGCCTCCTGTCGGTAAATTTGTCGATAAAAATATGTAAAATCATTGTAGGTGATAACTAAAAAAATATAGAATAGAATAGAATTGATAAAAATATTAAATAAAAATATTAAATATATTTCGTTATTATATATCTGTATACATAACGTAAAAACATCAAAATAGTCGTAAATTATAAAATTAACATTTTATTAAAATGTAATGCTGGATGTTTGGATTGCTAAAAATAGTCGATAATATCACTCTTCTTCAATTACCTCCGGGCCTCTGGGGTCTTAACCAGTTCGAAAATTTACCCAAGGCTGGCTGTCTTTAATAATACATTGTCGGTGTGTGACGACAGTCTTAAATTCATTCCTGCGTATAAACCTAGGAAATGTTCAACTTAAGGCCGATTCTTCCAAGCTCTTGGTAAGCTAACCAACATCAGCTAAATCACGTGTCTGTCTTTGTCTTTCCTTCAAATGAAACAAAGACAGACGTATGATTTAACTGTCAGATTACCAAGAGGTTGGAAAAATCGGCCCTTAGCCGCGATTGGTTTTCACTTATCGCGTTCTGTCGCTTGGGTCGTTGCTTTTTTTAACGCGCTAACTATGGCCTTAATTAGAAGCCGCGGCAAACCTGCGTCGTTCACATGGAAACCGCCTGTAATGTTGTTTCAAAAGTTGGGTCACACATTCACGGTAAAATAATCCAGGTCGTTTAAGTATAGAACGCGATATCGATTAACGGAGATAAGGACAGACTGATGAAGAATGTGTGAGTATTAAATGTGTTTTTTTCATATTCTTTATGGTTAATGTACTCTGTCGAGAACGTGAGAACTGCTCCGTCGATGCCGCCGGTAACTACTTGAAGTGCACGCTGCTATATCGACATATTGCTCGGTCGATACCTCGAGTGCGCTTCGATCGAACTCGCGACATTATTCGTCGTGAATAAACGATGGCGGCAGGAGGACGATACGTAAACATCTGTTTTTAAATGAAGACTGTGTTTGACTTTGCGGAATATTCGGGGACTGTTATAATGTACTGGGACTCGGTTTGCGACTTTAGATGCCTTCGAGGTTAAACACGTTAACTTTAATAATTCTGCAAGTTGCGCGAAACATGTCCCGTAAAATTGACGCATTAGTCCGTATTATATTGATCCTTATTCTAAGAAATATTATTTTATTAATAAAAAAAAATTCACAGAAATAAAAATCTAATATATGTTTCTAATGTCGGTAAAACCTTAATCTGAATTTGTCTTTGCCTGAACAAAGTTTAAACTCAGATTTAGGTTTAATCGACATTAGTAGAAACAGGCATCTATATCATCGCGCGATATAAAGATCTAAAGACAGGTTTTCGATGATGTTTAGAAGCAGAATACAATCAGAATACGATGTTGTATTTCCGTTGTATTTTCTGTATCGGAGAGCAGCACTACTAAAACTTAAAATGATAAGATAGTTATATTTGAATAGATATTGAAATTATATTAATTTAACCACAAGGCTATCTTAAATTAACCAAGAAAGCCTTGTATTAATGTTAAAGCTTATTAAAAGTCCCGGAAAGTAACATTTTAAGGTCATGATAACATCGATATCATCTTTAGCAACATAATTGAAAACTTCTTGAGTTTAATGTAGTGTAGTATTTTTGTGTTATGTATAGCTTGTTTTTGACTAATTCTCAGAAATTCTCTCATTGGACCATAGGCTGCGTTCCAAGCTGCGAAAAAAGAGCGTTAAATCATTTCGAAACCAAGTGTACACACATATGGCGGCGGCGCTGTGATAACACGCTCGAATAATTAGGATAGCGCCAGAGAGGATACAGGGTTGGATACGCACGCGTGAGTCCGCGTTTGGGGTCCGTCTTCCGCTTCCAGTCCGGTCACTATGATGCACGATGTGGAACCGAGTTAGAACTCTACATGAAATATGTAGAAATCTCCCTCTAGAGACGAGGCGGAGGATTAACGCAGGTACATACGCATCAGCCGCGGGAAGCACACCTCACACATAAGCTTCTCACAGCCGAAACATAAATAACCAAGGGTCATCCACTAAATGCCTTCAGAGGCTACAGGCTACCGGCTCTTCAGAGCGCTTTTTTTTCTTTTATATCCGGGATAATATATAATGACGTCATTACATAGCCAGAATACTTTGAAGCGTCTAATGGAAGCTATTCACGTCAATATAAATTCGATGTTGACAATCTTATCGATCGACTATATCTCGAATAGCACAAACTTCTAAATAAGTTTCAATGACGTCTAAAACAAGTTTCAATGCCGTCTGAAAAGTTTTTCGAGTGTTTTTGGGAATTTTACGCTGTCTGGAGCATGCACTTGTTTATATGTATAAGTGTAAGCTTATTAAAAAATATTTATATAACTATCATTCCTATAGCACAGATCATTGGGGCAATATTGGCTACCATTAATAAATTAAGTCCCAACATACTCAATATTGGCCCAATATTGTAGACATTTTGCATTTTATAGCCAATATATCCCAGCAAACATGATGACATCAATTAACGTTAGAGGCGTCATTAAAACATCATTAATATATTATTTGATAGCATCTTGCTGCTTGATATATACATGTGATATTATTTTACACGGTATGATATATTTGAATGTAATACAAATATAATACGACGTTATACATTTTTTTTAAGAGAAGAAAAATCGTAGTTTTCCATGTCATGACTATATATAGATTTTCAAACTATCGTTATTCTTACAATGACTTCATTCTACTTAATAAGTATACGCGACTTCGCAAAGTATTCTCGTGAAAGAGAGAATAATTCAATTCTTAATTCTGACTCGTAGCGTAGCGTGTCATGCTGCTGGAACCACACGTCTTGGACACTCTATTTACCGCGCACTTTCTTTCTGCGCCATGGACTGCGTCGTTGTCGTCTTCGCCGTCGCGCTATTTCAATCCTTTTAGATGTAAGTTTTTATTCATTAAATGTTTTTGATCTCGTCTCGACTTTTTGCAGATTATTTTGAAAGGATTTCAAAGAGATTTTTATTCAATCTATGATTGAGATGAAAAGTTTTTGCTATGAATATATTGTATCTGAGAATTCCTCTTATTGCATATAAATTTATGCAGTTATGTGCAGATATAATAAAATAAATAACGCAACTCCACAATGATATATCAGATATATATAGATTCTTAAAGCATATGTGACTTCCATAAAATTCTATTTAAACTAATCGACAATTAATAGACGGAACTATCAAGGATATATTTAGACACTTGTGTATATGTAACTTGTCGTCAGACAGGAAATATATATATATACAGTTTTCTGTTTTAATAATTATATTATTTTATATTAACTTCCAAAACTAATAATAATCCACGTTAATAAAGTAGAACCAGTGCTGCCTAACTTATAGCAAGTTTAAGCGATTTTAAACAATAAATTATAAAGGGAAGACAAGAAAAATTCTCTTTCTTGTGTTAATAAAATATGTATTTTTTATTTCATTTCGTTCTTATTTCATTTTCTTTGTTGGCAGTTCGAGGATTGAGTTAATCACCGCTTAGATTTAATCAGGGATTTTCTGAAGAAATTTTCCACTCTTAAGACGCTGTGGTATGCACTAACACTTTCTGCTACGTAGAAGGTAACCGTTGAGGATCGTTAGATAATGGAAAAGGTCTAGCAGGAGCATAAAGGAAAGAAAAGAATTCGAACGGATAAACTAGTTCCCCAATCCAGCGACGAGTGCGCTGCCTTGCTGCGCGCGGAGATACGACCCTTCAGACTGGAAAGGTGGTTCATTCGTACGATGTTTCCTGCGGCCGGGGGATCGTGAACGCTTTTCCGGAGCTATACCCGCCGTGTCAGATGTGTTAGTGAGAAGTATTCATGGATCATTCGAAACAAAGATCGACTGTTGCGCGTCGTCGCACCTAACCGACGATTAATCTCTAACTATTAGAGATAAGTTTCGTTAAGTTTTGTAACATTGTTTCGCATGATTATTTCCTCGCCGCGCGACGAAGCGAGACGATAATTTTAGTGAAAGCATTCGCAACTATTTTGATCGGCCCGCGGACTTTCGCGCTGTTAAGTGCGGTAGTAAAAACGAGTGAGTTCGCGCTGCTTCGACGAATTTTCGCGAGCGAATGACTCGCGAGTGAAGGTTCCGCGATTACGGACAGAACGATTTGCTCAACCGATCGATCGTTGGTGGCGAAATGCGATGCATTCGACTTGCGCGAGTGTACCTCTGTGACTATAATCTCCGTGAATGTGAAACGCGGATAAACCAATGATTGTAGTTCGAACTGTGTTCGGGATTGACGGAAGAACCTATGCGCGTTCTCTTTGTAAATTTTTTTTCTAAAGGACAAGAGACTTTTCCAGTCTTCGTACATTATGGGAAATCTGTTTGAAAAGAAATCCATGGATTTTTACAATTTAACAAACTGATCTCTTCGTTAAGGATCTTACATTCATACATTTGCAATTTTATTTTGCAATTTTATTTTGTAATTTTATCTTCAACGATCCTTAAGACTTCTAATTTACGAATCGTTAGATTCAAAATCTCACAACTGCAAGTTCCTAAATCCGTGAAGCCTCATTCTTCAAGCTGTTCCAATCTCTGTCGTATTGACAAATCCTCCCTCCTTTTCTGCACGGACATATTACATATTGACAAGATCTGTCGCAAGTTCGTAAAAATGAAGCATGTTCATTTGTCGATAACCTTCATCACCGCGTATGTTTGCTACGTCTTCATTTTGTCAGTGGCCAATGGTCATCAACAAAATTTTCTTGAAACACCGCCTTCTTACCTAGAAGTGTTACCTGGTCAAGACGTGCAGTTACACTGCAGAGTGAAAAATAAACGCGGCAAATGTGGTTGGCTTCAGGATAACATACTGATATCGCAGGATGTGGACAAATATAAATGGGCAGGTGACCATTCAAACGATTGCACTCTGCTGATCAAAAGGGTTTCCTTGGAGTTTGATGACGGCAGTTACATATGCCAGGTCTCGCGTACCAATTTCAACTTCATGGACGGGCTCACGTCCTTACCAACGAGGTTGCTTGTGATAGGTAAGATCCCAATTCGAGTCGCTTCACTCCTAGCTCCTACATCCTAGCGGGATGTTAATGACTCGCACATAAAATATCAAGTCGCCTGAAAAGAACCTCGAGGAATTTCTTAGGAAGAACTCAGACAGAATGAAGTGAATCAAATCGTTTGAATAGCGGCAGAAGATTTATGTAAAAAAAGAAGCATGACGATGCATATAGAACTGAATGAAGCGACACCCACGTATAGAGAAACGCTCTATCACGTCTCTTTTTCTTTCCTTAGAAAAAAAATGGATACGACCTTTCTGAACGGCCCAATATTTAATGAGAATTTTACACAAGGATAATAAAATTAAAAGTACCCGACCAAATTTCCATTAACAATAATTAACTGTGCTATTAATTAGATTGAAAGATTATAATAATTTTGAAAATAATATCGAAAGTAAGTCCAAAGTTTCACAAGATTCACAGACATATTCTATATATTGAAATATAATAAAAATGTCCCGATAAACACAAATCTCAAAACTGTCAATTTTTTTATTACATATTTTTTATTATTTATTTTTTATTTCATTATTATTTTATTTTATTATTATATATTTTTTCAAATATAACCATCTAGTTATAATGTGAACTATACGCGAGGCTTGAAAACTGACAAAGGAAATAAGACCACTTGGAATATTTATTATGTAGAGATAAAACTTAAGATAAAAGAGGCATTTTGAAAGGTGATAGTGTCAGGATGAGTATTTTCCGAATTCCTTTGTCAATTTGAAGTACAAACAGACGGAATACACACACTCATGTAGCTGTAAATATTTTGATAGGACTTTGGACTTGCTCTGTAATATTAGTATTGTGATAAGCAACGCAATTGAAATTATGATACGTTAAAAATTTTGTTATATCACAAGAGGACATTTGCATTTCATTTATAGTTTTACATTTAAAGAAATATAACATATAGTAAATAATAGTAATTAATATAATTTATATATTAACATATAATTAAGATTCAAAGTAACGTCGAGTATTTTATCAATGCGCATCAGATCATTCGGATCGTTAATATTTCGCGAACATTGACCTCGAGTGATGCAAGAAAACGCATCGGGCAGCCGTTATGCTCTACTTTCCTACACTTTTGCAACATCCGTGTTAATGGAAATTTGGTCGAGTGCTTTTAATGGCTCAATCGACTCCTGGAACAATTACTCATTCTGTATTTGCTCACGAAATGATAAAATTACGATTACAGTTGCAAAGACAATTAAAATAAGAGCAAATAAGATAAAAGTAGATAAATGGATTAAATAAAAAGATAAAATAAAAGTGATACATTATAAAAAAACAAGAGACAACATCACTGAGACAAAATCCTACAGAAGACTCATTTTGCATTATTAGACTTTCCTTAAATTATGCTTATTTATTTTAACGAACATATTATATTGCACAAATTATTTAACAGAAACTAGATGTATCACATACAGAAGTACATGTACAAACACATTTCTTTAAAGAATATAACATATTTACTTTCGCGTTTATTTATCTATCCTGCTGCACAAAGGTTGTGACTTAAGGTTTTCGGTCACAATAATTTCTGTTTGTATTTATGTTATCTAAATGTACCTTAATGCATGTTTCAGTGAAACCTAAATCACCTATCATGCAGTATGAAGGAGGTAAACCTTTAGACGCCGTTCTAACGCTTAAAGAGGGACACCAAATCATAATTACCTGCAGTTCGAACTATGGGAATCCACCAGCCTTCATTAAGTGGTAAGCAAAAAGCTTAATTTTTAAAAATGCGTATGTCACATACACATCAAAATGACTGAATACTAATATAATAACAAATAACAATAAAAGATGTAAGGAAAAAAAACGTGAGAAATAATTTAAACATTTAAAATAAGAAGAAAATACTTGTAATCCAGATTTCACGTAAATATTTAAAAAATGAAATAAATATATAAGTATATGTATGTATATATATTTTTCAAAATTTATATTTTTATTATTATATATTTTTTCAAATATAATCATCTAGTTATAATGTGAACTATACGCGAAGCTTGAAAATTGACAAAGGAAATAAGACCACTTGGAATATTTATTATATAGAGATACTTAAGATAAAAGAGGCATTTTGAAAAGTGATAGTGTCAGGATCAGTATTTTCCGAATTCCTTTGTCAATTTGAAGCACAAACAAACGGAATACACACACTCATGTAGCTGTAAATATTTTGATAGAACTTTGGACTTGCTCTGTAATATTAGTATTGCGATAAGCAACGCAATTGAAATTATGATAC